GTAGAGTCCAATAGTGTTATAAAAACCTCAGAGAATTCCACTAAGATATCTTTAATCATTTCTAAGATACAATGGTTCAAAGCTTAATCTAACAATTGAACAATTTTGCTGTTACACCCGGTATATGTGTAGAAGTTGTGGAGTCTTCACTTTCAAGTCTTGATAGAGTTCAGAAGTGTCTCTGTGTACTTGTGGGTGATGAATAATTTTCCACCCTACAACCCCTTTTTTACAGATGAAGTGTTGCAAGCCTCTTACTAATCTACTGTTATTTCCATGGAAAGTGATTAGACGCCCTACATTCCTTATTTCCACCAGTTCTAACCTTCCAGACTAAGACCTGGCATGCCACGCCCATTGTAGAGAATCACCCTCATTCCCTTTGTATTTTATTTGTGAGATGTAAGTTCCACTTGAGTAGCAGCTTCTCATGGACCACTTCTTTGTGAAACTAACTCCGAAGTGGATACTTCCCTGATCACTATAGTCTTAATCTGTTCAAGTCTAAGGTTAACTATTATATTCCCCATATATCCTCATAAACTGTGCCTCTGACTCTCTAACCCTCTAACTCAAGTGGCTTTTGGGCCTTGTACAGGGTGAATATTATTGTAAATAAATTTAATGAAACTTGAAGAGACAGAAAGGTTTATAACTACAAGTAAAACTCTGATATCTGTTCTGAATATATTTTACATAATTTTTAGAAAATTAAAATTTTTCTCATTCTTTTTTTATTCTCATGCTAAATCAACTGGATGTAGTTCTCTTTTCTTTTGCCTTGTTGTATGAAATATAGAATTATGCTGCCATCTTCATGGAACCATGTTTAGAAAATGTCATTATAAATATTTCTACAGAAACCTTACTGAATGACATTACCATTACTCTTAAAAAATAACAGTATAATATTCATAATCAAATTATTTGAATTTTAAAAACATAAAAGCCAAATGTTAAACAGTGAGAAGAAAAGTATTCCTGCTTTTTTTAAAAAAAAAATTATTTTAGATGAATCTCTGAACTTTAAGTTCCTTTTTTAAGTCAGCTTGATCAATCCTATATTTCATCAGAACACTTCTGCTGCATCTTCTGAGTTACTAAGTTGACTTTAAATATTTAAGTCAAGATGGATGAAAGCAGATAAAATATTCATACCTAAAATTAATATGTTATTAAAAAGCAATAAATTATAGCTAATTTCAATATTTGCACAAACCACAAACCACGACAGATGCAGGCAGAACATATACAGTGTAATAAAATGAAAGTAAACCAAAACTATTTTTCTTTTCTCTATGCTGTGTACCATCAGGATATGAGCAAACATGGCCATCTACAACTTTCTCTCCTTTGTAGCTCATAGCAAAGTGTTTTTTTGCTATCTCTCCTTAACCCTGTTCTGCCAACCATTTACACAAGTGTATTAGATTAGTTACATGCTGCTTTCTGCTATCTCTGTTGCCTTCAATATATCCTGTGAGTGTCAGATTTTCTTAGCCCTTTTTCCTCATTATGTATCCCAGAAAATTCAACTGTTTTTTTCTAAAACTAAGTACAAGTGTTCTTTTTGTTTCTATTTTCCCTAAAGCCAAAACAACTATAAAGGAAATATCAATGGAAATGAAAAGAGGTGCATTCTGTTAAGGTCAATATATAAGCCTATAGTTTTTTTTTGTTTTTTTTTTAGAAAGGAGTGACTGAAAGGCTAATATAAATTAAAAACTGAAATTATACCAATCCCAGACTGATTAAATGACCAACTTACTATTTCCCATTGACAGGAAAGGTTGGGCAATTTTGTTAAGTTATTTATTACAATTTAAATTTTTTGGCAAGTTTATGTTGTGAGGGGAATTTTAATGTTAAGAAAATCAAATTATTAAGAAAGACTCAATAAGTAAAATAGTATTACAAAAAGGCATTATTCTGGAGATGATGATAGTGATGATGATGATACTACTACTATTACTACTACTACTGATAATAATAATACCAGGATTCATAGTTAATTTTACTATAATATAGGAAATTTTATTTTCCAGGTTTTTTTTTATATTAAACATTTGAATTCCTAAACAATATTAAAATAAAAACAAAGAGAACATGTGTATGCTTGTTAAATAAATCATTTGTATTTACAAACATGTGTACATGAATTCAAAAGAGTCAAAATGGAGTAAAAATAGTCTTTAGTTGAGTTAAAGTTTTTGAGTAGTTTGTTCACAGAAAAATCTGTAGTTTAGAAAAGATTTTTAAATAGTTGATTCACAGAAAAAATCTGTGGTTAAAAGAAGACTTTTAAATAACTGATTCACAGTAAAAATCTATGCTTTAGAAGAGAGTTTTAGTAGTTGATTCACAGTAAAAAGTTGTAGTTGAGAAAAGACTTTGATCATCAGCAAAGATTCACTGACTATCCCTGCTATTGTTGTTGTTGGAGAGGATTCATTTGAAGTCACTGACATGTTTCTTTCAGCATGTGATGAGGAGAAAGGAAAAAGCTATGTAGCCACATCATCTCTTATGTTTGAATGGCTTGGAGGCAGTCACATCTCAGCTTCTGAAAGTTAAAATTTGTGGGTTTTTTGTATGAAATTTTTCCTAAAAGTAGACTTGAGAAAAATAAGGTTTTAGTTTTCACTGATTGGTCAAGTATTTCACTTAGTGATGCTAATTACTAGCCAATTGACACTTTGATTTTAACAGTGTGTGTTGTGGAATCTTTTTGGTGTATTTGTAATTATTGTGTGTTATTGGGTAGAAAAATTTGGGGCATGTTTTAATATGGTATGTATGTGGGTATGTGCATATGTAAATGTATTGGAAATAGGGTTTATTTCCTATAAGTTAATATAATGAGAATAGGAGTTTTTACTTGAAATTTTGAAAAAAATGTTTTAATTCCATTAAAATACCCAAACAAAATATTAATCATATTGTTTTACTACAAAAATTTTGGTTGATATATTTTTTTATCTAGTAATCATCTAGAAAGGAGGAGGCATGGTGGAGTAATGGATAGTGGCTCGGATTGAGGAATTGGAGAGCCAAGTTTGAATTCTAGTCGAATCCATTACATTCACTTACGTGCTAATACCCTTGAAAAAGGTATGAATCCTCTTCTTCCCCCCCCCACCAGCTATGGGTAAATAGCAGGACAGACTGGGTTCTATAGCCTTGGATGGCAACTGGTCTACCGCAGAAAGAACTGATAACCTACTGTGGGAAAAAATCGGCCTCATCAGTCATGTATTGAAAGATACATGATCCCCTAAGCATGTATCATGCATGGCACAAAACTGACTGAATCATCCAGAATGTTTTGATTCCTTACTTTTGTCAGTTCATCCTTATCCTGATTGATCCAGTAATCTTTCAAATTTCTTAGTTATGTTTTTATGCTCATGCTTTGTCCATACTTTCTGATGTCTGTGTTTAATCCAGCAATCTTCGTGGTTCATCCAATATATTTCAGCCCATGCTTTTTCTCTATTTCCTCATGTCTGTGTCTAATACAATAATCTTTGCGGTTCCTCTTATATATTTCTATCACCATGTTTTTGTCCATACTTCCTGCTGCCTGTTTTTAGCCCCATGCTTTGCCTTGACTTGCTCATCCGTTTTATTTATCTAATAATCCCTAATGGTCTTCTTGTAATCATCACCTCCTCAGTCAGAAAAAAATAATATCTGACTATCCAAGATTCAGCTCAACACTCTAAATAAACAAAAAAATATTGCCTGATACTTGAGGATTATTCTGTACCACACTGGATATCTTTAGCAGAACATATTTGACTTGAAAGGATGGAATCTCAAATTTACAGAGAGAAATTTTACAAGTATTTAAATTAGAGACAAATTTCAGTCAAATTTATAAGTCATTAATAAAAAGGTGAAAAAAAAGTTACTGACTTGTTCTTATTTAATTGTTAGATTACACCCATCCAGTGTTACAAACGGGTGTTACAGTTTCAAGGTCGTTAAGTGTGCATGAATCTTCAAGATTATGGTAATCCAGAAGATGCTCCAGTTTGTAATTGCAGACATTGGCAGCTGGGATCATTATCAGTGGCATATCCCCATAGGTGGATTGGTGGGGAACTGGGATTGAAAGGAGAAGATTATATGTACCACTTGTAGTATATAAGCTAGGCAGGCTGAAAAATATTGTCCAGTCGGGCATTGTAGTAAAAACAACAAAAATAAGGATACCCTTCAGAATATCTTGTGGAATATGACCATAAGTTATTAAAGAGTCTAACATAATAATTTGAGAAAATAGGAAGTGTTTTAACAGAGGATGGAAAATGTGGCACTGAAATCCAAAGGTGTACTGGGATAGCCAAGGAATCCTTCCAAAAGCTAAGCTGAGTACTAAGAAATAGAAAAAATTTGCTGGAACCAAAGAAAAAGAATACTAAACTGCTACATGATATCTATCCTCCCATATGGCAGGAAAAAATGGATGATCTCAAAGATGAAGAGGAGACTTGAAGCAATAGAAATATGGTTCTACAGAAGGATGCTGAGGATACTATGGACTTGAACATGTGAGCAACAATAAAGTTTTGGAGAAAATGGAAACAAAAAGGAAATTGATACTTAGTATCAGGAAGAGACAGTTGATGTTTCTGGGGGCACATAATGAGGAAGGAGGACTTGGAAAATCTGATACTCATGGGACAGAGGGCAAGAGGGACAGAGGAAAACAACGCATAACATAATTAATGAGCTTGGGTAAATGAATGGTGTAATAGGTCTTGGAGAAATAACAGAAAGATAAAGTTTATTAAGAGCTATAATGGACAGGAAGTTGTAGAGAGCCATGATCACCTAAGTTCCGAGGGGACATAAGCACTGAAAGGAGGAGTTAGAAATATGAGATTTAAGTATGGCCAGTTTACAATCTATGAACCAATTTTTGTTGAAGTAATAAAATAATATTAAAATAATAAAAAATAATTGAAATAAAATTTTTTGTTTTTCATTTTTAGATGGCCCTTTTGATTTAATTGTAATGGATCCACCATGGCAGAATAAATCTGTGAAAAGGCAGAAATCGTAAGTAGTTTTCAGCTTGTCTATGATCATATTAATGTCTGTCTATATTTCTGAGATGAGGTATTATGTACACTATTTACATTATTCAGACTATTATCCATATGTTGCCATATTTATCTGATCCTTCAGTATCTGTCTATATTTCTGAGATGAGCTATTATGCACACTATTTACATTATTCAGACAATTGTCCTCATCTTTGTTGCTATATTTATCCGATCCTTTAGTATCTGTCTATATTTCTGAGATGAGGCATTATGTACACTATTTAGATTATTCAGACTATTGTCCTCATCTTTGTTGCCATATTTATTACAATGTTTTGGCCATTGTATGCTCTGGCCTTCTTCAGGTGGTTGGAATGTCGAACTGGAGCCTTTATTTCGCTCACTGGGGTAGACTGTCCTAGTTCCACATGCCATGTTTTAATGGATGCCAGTTATCAGTTATCTCCTGTTAATTCTCCACTGCCTTAACTGGGTATTGAACTCACACTCTTTGGATCCTGTCACTGGATCTAACCAACACCTTTATCCACTGTGCCATGTGTCCTTGAGGAAATAAAGGGTTCAATTCGACATTCCAACCACCTGAAGAAGGCCGGAACGTACAATGGCCGAAACAATGTAATAAATATGGCGACAATCATATTAATATAAAATTAAAAGCAGAAATTTACAACACACACACACATATATAAAACTAATTCTTACATCCCAGTTAATATGAATTAGGTTACCCCTGAAACCGTTGTTACCTACAGGAGATCTTTCGCTAAGATCTAGCACTTGTTTGTCCTCTCACCAGGTTTACTGTTTTTTTTCTTTGCTGTTGATCGAATGAATACCATGAATGAAAACAGGATAAAAGGAATTAGCATTAGGTAGAACTGTTTTTTTTTTTTTTTATTTGCATGTGTATATCTCAGTGTGTGAAAGGAAAGATCATTACTTACACTTCAAATTGAGAATGTCGCCATATTTCCTGCGAGCGTGAAATAGTTACTCCATTCATTTGTTTTTTATAGAAGAGCACAGAAACTGCTGAACTGAAAGTTGTTTGTGATAGGACTATAAAATTCCACAGGAGTCAAAGTGCATTGCGTGCATTACGAGAAGAGTTGTAGCTGATGGATGGCACGCAAGATGCTCGGGTAAAGACATAACTGGTGATGCGTGCCTAAACACCAAACTTATATATTTCATGAATTCAAACTTTAACAGCTATTTAATAAAAAAGGAGAGTAAATATAGTACAAGTAGAGCTGTCTTCTTTTATGTACCCCATTCCTTCAGGACATAAGCAATCATGGCTCTCCATAACTTCCTATCCTTTTTAGCTCTTAGCAATATTTGTCTCCTACTTCCTGTTTTTCTATTTGCAAGCTTATTAGGAAGCTTATTTGCTGTTTCTCTCTTTCTCTCAGTATGCCCTGTGAGTTTCAAATTCTCCAAGACCTCTTTCCTCATTAGGTATCCCAGAAACTTCAAGTCTCTTTTTTGATCTTAAATATAAGTGTCCTTTTGTTTCCATTTTCCTTAAAACGTCCTCATTTCTCACATGCTCAGTTCATAGTATTCTCAGCATCCTTCTGTTGAACCACATCTCTGTTGCCTCAGGTCTCCTCTTCATCTGTGAGAAAATTGTCCAACATTCACTGCCATATCAGAGGATTAAAATTACATAGTAGTTCAGTACTCTTTTCTTGCTTTTTTTCTAATTACATTTTCCTGTTTCTTGATACTTTATTTATCTTTTGGAAAGCATCTTTCATTATTCCACTGCACCACTCACATTTTCTGTCATTTGCTAAAATACTGGCTAGATATTTCAATTTCTGTACTAGCTCAATTTTGATATCTCCAATTCATATCATGTATTTTGGGATGTCTCTTTTGGCGCTGTTCACAATGGTTAAAATCTGTAAGAAAACTTTAAGAACTGTGTTCAAATTTTTTATATTATTTGCAATTAGAATTAATTAACTTTACTTGATTTAGGAATTTTACCAAACCAAAATATTATTAAATCTCTCAGACTTAGTGAAAATTAATTTGAATAATAGTGCATTAGATTATGGTGGAATAGTCTTGCAGATTATTACTTCTCTCATGATCAGTGACATTTAGTAAAATATGTAAAAATTTAACTCTATTTCTAGTTGAGGAGGAGCTTTTTTTTGCCCATACACAATTTTCTATTGTTAATGCTCCTTTTGTGTTTGAGGTGTTAAGTTGAAACTCTAGATATTTTAATGAAAATAGGCATTCATGAAAAAATTTAATTGAGTAAGGTAATTGTGAATATACTGAATACTCCTTTTATTTCATAATTGCTAATATCAGAATATTTTTTATAGTTGTTTAATTTCTTTAGTTGTAGTTATTGAATTCAGAACAATATAATTTTTATTCATCAAGTGTGAATTTAATATTTTTCTTGGTTTTATGTTAAGGGGCTTCATTCAGATAGTATCATGTAATATCGGTCCTACTATATAGGCAATGAATGTTGGCCAATCTCCTCACAGAAGAAGAAACTTGATGCAACAAAAATGTCCTACAGAAGGATACTGAGAACAACAAAGTTTTAGAGAAAATAGAAACAAAAAGGTTACTTAACATCAGATAGAAATAGTTGGAATTTCTAGCGTACATGAGGAAAGCAGGCTTGTAAAATTTGATACTCACAGGACAGGTTGAAGACAAGAGGAATACAGGGAAACAATGCATAACCTACCTAGAGAGCTTCAGTAAATGATGACAGAACAAGTGTTAGGAGAGATAACAAAAAGTCAAAATTTATTAAGCATTAGAAAGGATGGAGAATTGTGGAGAGCCACAATTTCTAACATTCTGAAGGAAAATGGCATATAGAAAAAGAACCTTGTTTTATTACTCAATGCCATATTAGCCTTTAACATTTTGTGATAAAATGTTATTGGAACTATAATAATGAAATCAACAAGCTAAATCTGAATTCCAGTCAACCCCAAGGGTCTTACACTATTTCTGATCTTCATCAATGATTTTCCTGATGTCATCAATTCCCAAGTAGGCATTTATGCAGATGATACTATCATTTATTCCTGTCTCAATAACAAATCCATTGGAGCTAACAAAGTTAACTTGACCACTACTCTTGAAAAGTATCACCAATCAGTGGTTAACTGGGGCAGGAAATGGCTTGTAAATTTTAATGCCTCCAAAACTAAACTACTCTCATTTAACCACCATAGAGAAACTTTCTTGCTTGACATCAGCATGGTTAATGCTTGATTCCTGGAGGGTGTCTCATTGTGCCTTCTTGGCCTCATATTTTCAACTAATGAATTGGAACAACTACATTGAATTAATAGCTGCATCTACTGCAAGGAAAGGTGGTTAATTGTGATGTGCCAAAATGTTTTTCTTGTTAGAATTCATCTTGCATATTTACAAATCTACCTTTCGTTCATGCATTGAATACATATCTAGTCTGATGCTTATGCTATTCATCTTGAGGTTCTTGACAAAATCCATAGAAAGATCTGCAATGTAATCAATCCTGACTTTGCATCTCGACTTCAGTCACTTTCTCACAGACATAGTATGGCTTCCCTCTGTCTTTTCATGGCAACTGCTCTGACAAGCTTTTTACCCTGGTGCCCCGAATACATGGATTTAAGCATGCTACTAGATCAGCATCTATGTACTACCCTTTTACTGTTGAAATAGTTAAATGTAACTGCCACTTCTACTCCAACAGTTGTTTTTCTTGCACTTCCTGGCAGTGGAACTCCCTTCCTCTTGATTCCCTGAAAACTGCAATCATCAGAAATTTAAATGCAACATCAATGACCATATTCTATCATCTTGAACCCTGTTCATCTTTTATCTTCTCCTCAATCCCTCCTATACCCAGTCTCTTCTCTCACTTTCACTCTCTGTATCCCCTTTGTGTACTAGGGGCATTTCCACCTTGCTTAGAGTAAAATGATTAAAATAAAATAAAAAGTTCATTATATTAACTTACACACAAATTGTCTTGGGAAAGGCATGAATCCATCCCATCTTCTCCCAGCTCTGGGTTAAAGAGTCTAGGAGAAGGAAAATTGAATTCAGAACCAACCTGAAGATGGATAAGCCTTGCCAGACTATCTTGCCTTAGAAACATTACTGTTGTTATAGCTGAAGTACATGTGGTGCCCCAATAACCCTCATGGGCTACATGACTTGTGACATGAACATATAACTTGATATTAGAACCATACCTTATCGTTATTTAATACATATAATTTCAGTTAGGCTATATCATGTTGAAACATCAGCTCTCATCCGATCACCAAAGTTAAGTAATGTTGAGCTTGGTCAGTACCTAGACGGGTGACTATTTTGGAAAACCAGGTGTAGTAAGCTTGGATGTGTGGATGCTTTGATGGCTTGGAATGAGAAATTTGGAGAGCCAATTTCAAATTCCAGTCAGGTTTGTTACATTCCATTACATGCAAATTGGGAAAGGCATGAGTCAATCTCTTTTCATGCACACTACACACAAAGTGTGACAATTTAAAAATCCTGTGTGTACTTTCAATGAACATTGAATTTCTGACTAGCATGTCAAAAGTTTTCACAATAACAAAGAAGCTTTCTCAAGAAGTTTGTAGAGTGATAGGTGACTACGATTATTATGGAATGGGATATTGAAAGAACTCCAATGAACTTAATAATCCTACCCTTTTAATAAGATTTATCATACAAAAGTGGAAGCAATACAGCATGAAAACAAATCTTCCTCAAACAGGACATCCTTGTAAATTAAGTAAATTGGCAACTACATCCATTTTTTTTAGAAAGTAATGGGAAGAATTTCAGTTGCCTGACCTAAATACCATAGAAAATCTATGGAAGGAGCTTAAAGTTAGAGTAAATCAGAAAAATTATGGGCATGTGACTGAGTGGTTAGAACATTTGCATTCTGTTCATGAGACTCTGGTTTGAATCTCACCATAATCTATTTGTCAGAAACAAGACTTCCCGATGTTATCAGACTGGAGGGGTTGATCCCAGCATGCGGTATCTTTGGAAAGTACCTGAAAACCATATCACGGGTTAACCCAAGCCTTGTGAGTGAAATTGGGTAGATGGAACCCTTGGGGGCCATCAATAGCTGTGCTAGCACAAAGTCACAAGCCATCATGGCTGAGGGCTTGAGCATGCTGACCTTCTTAAAATTGCTGATCATGTTAGATAACATGCTCTTTCCCAGAAACTGTAACTAAGGTCTGCTCAGTGTAGTTGCAGTATAAACCACAGGTGGGTTCTGTGGGTGCTGAATAAACACAAATGTGCCTGAGCAAGCTTCTGCAATAGGGATTGGCTAGCTGCCCTAGTAGACGGGTGTCCTCAAATATGAGTGGCCAGCTATACATACATCAGAAGAATGCTCATAACATGAGAAAGATTAAGATAATTTGTCAATATGAATGGAATAAAAGTGAAGATTATTTCAGATTATTCTAAATACCTGACAGCTGCCATAGTAAATAAAGGGTGCAATATTAAGTATTAAATGCAGTTTACTGATGTGTGACCAAAACTTTTTTGTGTTTTTTTGTTAAGTATTCCAATAGATTTGTGTATAGGCAAAAAAATCCCGTATTCCTACTGAAAAGTTTAATAAGTATTTAGGTTTGTTGTCATATTTGAAATTGTTTCTTAAAAAATAAAACCTTTAAATTTTCATGTTTTATACTTTTGCATGTAACTTGATAAACATGAATTTCACATTTTGACATATTTCAAGTATTTACTTTCAATATCATTGATATATGGTTGTTTGCATAGTGGTTACTGGTGTGGAAAGTGGGATTGATGTGTTGAGTTCAAATTCTAGGAAGTTTGTTGTATTCACTTTCACACAAATACTCTTGGAAACATAGGAAACCATCTCTTTTCCCACCATCAGCCAGGGAGTAATAGCAGGGCATACTGACCTCTCTAGGTTTGGTTTTCAACCAGTTTATGAGAAAGACAAATTGGAATTGAAATCTTCCTGGTAATAGAGCTAGAAACTCTCTGCTGTGAAAACCTCATTGTTATGGAAAGCACAGCAACAACACTTGTACTCCACAGTGGGCTTTAGAGCAACACACATTGTTGGTATGGCTGACTGTGCATGGAAAAAAGGATTTGTTTTTATTAACACACAAGCAAAGTTTGAATTTCTACATATTTTCCTGATGACTGCATAAAAAACAGCAACAGGTAAAAATATTTATTAATTTAAGGTGGCAGTAAAAAACAACCCTCTAAAACAACCCCCTAAAAAAATTATCCATACTATTGCCAATTAACTATAGCTTTATAAAATTTGAAGCTGAGACTGAGTACTTAAATGATAAGAGAAAAATGACCAGCCTACTTTATATGCAAAAAATAGATAAACAGTTAAAATATAATTATATCTCATATGTAATACAAATTATTCTTATCAGTGAGATATTAGGGAATGAATATAAATTATTCTTATCAGTATTTTTATACATAATAAAGAGAGCACAATAAAATAATGGATAGCAGCTTGGATTGAACATTTGGAGAGCCAAGTTCAAATTCAAGTTCATTACATTCATGAAGACCATAATTCAATGCTAGACTCATCTGGTGTACCCTCACTGGACTTTCCCCCTAGAACTGAGATTCTACTGAGTGAGATGCACATAACCCCAACAATGGTATTAGACATCATCTCTAAAATAGACTCCCATAAGGCTGGTGGTGGTGACAGGATATCCGCCATTATCCTTGGCTCCTGTCCTCTATAAACTTTACTGTCTTACCGTCTCTTGCTTTCCAGCCTGTTGGAAGTCCTCATCAGTTGTGCTTGTCTTTAAAAACTCTGGTGACTCTTCTGACCTGTCTAACTACTATCCTATCAGTCTCCAGTAAAGTCTTTGAGGCCTTAATTAGTGCCAAAGTAGTTAAGTGCCTTACCTCACATAATCTGCTCTCCGACAAGCAATATGGTTTCCACTTTGCTCAATCAACCGCTGACGTGTTCATGACCATAACTGAATTTGTATACCAAGCACTCAACAATAATGGAGAAACTTGAGCTGTGACTCTAGACATCTCTAAAGCATTTGATAGGGTTTGGCATGCTGACCTTCTTTGTAAGCTTCAGGGATACGGTATTACAGGATGATTATTTGACTTACTACAATCATTCCTGACAAACCATGAACTGAAGGTCATCCTAAATGGGTTCTCCTCTGGCTGCTTTATCATGACTGCTGATTGTTCCCTAAGGCTCTATCTTGGGCCCTACACTGTTTCTGATCTTCATAAATGACCTTCGCAATGTCATCAGTTCCCAAGTTGGCATCTACATGAATGACACCACTATTTACTCCTGCCTCAATGATAGATCTAGTTCATTGACAATACTAACCTGGCTGCTGATCTCAAAAAGGACCTCTAATCTGTGGTTGACTGGGGCAGGAAATGGCTTGTAAACTTTAATACTGCCAAAATGAAACTACTCTCCTTTAGCAACCACAGAAAACCCTTCCTGCCTTCCATTAGAATGGTTGATTCCCAAGTCCTTGAGAGTACCTCATTATGCCTGCTTAGTCTCATACTGTCCATTGACATGAGTGGGGACTAAATACATTGAATCAATAGCATCATCTATCACAAAGAAAGTTGTCTCTCGGTGTTGTGCCAGAAAGTTTTTCTCGTCTGAGTTCATCCTTCAAATCTATAAAACAACCATCTATCCATCCTTGCTTGGAATATTGCTGTCATATATGGTCTGGTGACCCACTGTATATCTTGAGGTCCTTGACAAAATCCAGTGACAAATATACAAGATGATAAGTCCTGATCTAGCATCTAGTCTACAATCACTATCCCACAAACATGCCATGGCCTCCCTCTGTCTCTTCTACAAGTATTTTCACAGCAATTGTTCTGACAAGCTACTTTCACTGGTTCCCGGACTACATGAATTTAAATGAGCTACCAGGCTGGCATCTCGGTCCCACCCTTTCACTGTCAGAACAGTTAAATGTAACCATCACTTCTTAAACAGCTTTTTCTCCTGCACTTCCCATCTGTGGAATTCTTTTCCCCTTTCTTGCTTCCCTGATGACTATAATCTTCAAATATTCAAGTGTAATGTCGATCAACATCTGGCACCTCGTCCTTCTCTATATCCTTTCCTCCAACACACCTCTTTACTCTTGTTCTCAACCCTCTGTAACCTATTGCATGCTATTGACACTCCTACCTTGCTTGTGGTGAATTGCCTTAAAAAAAATTTCCTTAAATGATCAATCAAGGAGCATTTCCACCAAGAGAAGTGAAAAATCCCTGGATTTGGATTTGCTAAGAGAGCAAATTAAAATAACACATTAAGAAAAATAGCATTTTTTCCCCACTTTCTAAACAAAATTTCTATTAATAATCCCAGAATGTTGGTAAATTCTATCTTGATTTATAGTAGCTCATTAGAAGTTTTTTATTTAATATACAGTGAGGTATCAGGAAATTATGACAATAATATACAAGGAGATATCAGGGAATTGTGATAATGATATACAGGAAGATATCATGGAATTATGATAATGATATACAGGAAGATATCAGAGAATTATGATAATGATATACGGGAAGATATCAGGGAATTATGATAATGATATACGGGAAGATATCAGGAAATTATGATGATATACAGGAAGATATCAGGGAATTATGATAATGATATACAATAATCTATCGGGAATTTATGATCATGATATAGGCATGGGATTAGAACATTAACTTTCTAACCATGCAACCTGGTTTCAAATTTTACCATGGTCAATTTTTCAAGGAGGTGACTGCTTGATAATATTGTCTCAGGAAAACAAACCCTGCTTGTGGCATCATTGGGAAGTGCCTGAAAACAATACCATGAGTTGACTTCAGACGTGTCAAATTGTTTCGATAAAGTTGTTTGGAAGCTGTCATTGTGTTAGCACAAAATCACAAGTTATTGTGACCAAATGTTTGAGCCTACTGGCCTTGTTCAAAATGTTGATCATGCCAGATTATATGCTCTCTCCCAGAAACTGTAACTAATGTCTGCTCAGTATAGTTGCAGTATAAAACACAAGTTGGCTCTGTGAGTGTTAAAGAAATACAAATGTACCTGAACAGGCATCTGCTATAGGGATTAGTTATCTACTCTAGCAAATGAGCATACTCTGAAATGTGCAACCTACCATTATTATTATTATTATTATTATTATTATTACTTCACTTATGATTATATATACCCTATTTTACATTATGTCTGTGGTAATATAAAAGATAATTAACAGCCAAACACATAAAAGAAAATATTCTTATTACTTGCTCATGCCTGCAATG